CAAGAACCCCCGAAAAAAAGATAATCCAACTTCCCTCGTCATCCAATAAATCGCTCTTCACCGAGCCTTAATTCAAGATACGGAAAACAACAAGCTTAAGTATCATATAGTACAACCTCCCCGAAGCTGTTTGGTGGAGGTTCTGTATCAAGATCAGACTCCTGGTATAGCACGTGGATTTGGACGCTCCGTTGGTTGCCATCCCCCCCCCCATGTCTGCCAGCAATAACGCTTCTCCCAGGGCATGCATATGTGCTTTATACGGTATATACCCGGCTACATCATGGCCTATGTATTTAACTAAACCCCTCACCCCCTTCTGTACACATTCCCAAAGGTGAAGCGAGTGTTTGTATCCAAAGACTAAAAGGAAGAGGGGCCAGTTATCCCAGCCAGTGACTCCTGAAGGTGGACTACTCGGCAATATATATTAAAACCAGGTCTATGTCGCATATACATGTATACGGTATAACCCTTATATCCAGGGTGACTGGGGAGGACGTCCGACAATTTATCGTGCTCGGACGGAGTTTAATTTCGCGGCCGTTGCCGAAGCTAACCCCTCGTTTTGGCTAGATCGACGCAAGCGAAGTGGAAAGTGACCGTCTCTTTCGAATTGCGTTCAACCTTTGCCTCGTCAGTTTCGTTACGCCAGCATTGTAAAAGCGTCTTCAAGACGACTTAATTTAAGACATTAGGGACATGTTGCGAAATTTGGAGTGTCTTGAAGTAAGACGTTTCCGTCTGACAAGAAGACGTTCGGTAGACGAGACGTTTTCGTTATGGCTTGGGATGCAAGCCATCAAATTTAAGACATTTTGCTTCCGAATGAAAACATTGCATTCGCAAAATCGGAAATTTCCTATTTTTTGTATCAGGACAACTGTTTTTCGTCTCAAGAGTTCAAATATGTTATTTTTTGACCATGTCCGGATGGATGTAAAGGATGTGACCGATCGTCACATCCTGATTGTGCTGATTCGGCTCTGCTAGCTTAAAATGCCTCCGATCCTCTTTTGAAGATAACTGAAAAATAATTATTTGAATGTATCCAATTGTGATTTAAAATATTCTTCCCAATGCTATCTTAACCTTGTTCGATCATGAGACTGATTCCATCGTCTGTTGTTGAAAAAAATTTTTTTGAAATCAATATTTAGGGAAAGGTAAAAAATTTTAACGTTGGGGCAATGTTGACTGTCAACGTTAGGACAATGTTGGCTACCAACGTTGGAGCAACGTTGGGGCAATGTTGACTACCAACATTAAGATAATGTTAGCTGCCAATGTTGGGGCAAAGTTGAATTAAATCATCATTGAATTCATTTTAAAAGACATCATCATAGAAATGTCATCCGATAGCAAATATCTCATTTGTTAGCAAAAATATATTGACTATATTATGACGACAGCAATTTCTTACTTGTTTTCTGTTTCGATTGAAGTTTTGAAATAGGGGACAGTGTCTTCATTTTAGACACGAGCTTTTCTAATTGGTGGGGTAATTTCTATTGGCTTATTATTTGATATCTTGGAAGTCTTCTCAGTTTTTCGGCAAGTTGGCTCGTGCTCATGTTTACTAATATTGGGTTACACGAAGGTGAGGGATGATAAATTTAGGTAATTAGAGGGATCAAATGCTCGGGGAGCTGTGGGTATTGATGGCTGGAGGATCTCGTTGTGACCTAGTTCTACTTTTACACACAGAGAAAAATCTGATGAAAATTTGCGGAAAGGGTAGTTCTCAAAATGCAATGTCTGATAAATATTCCAATATTTTGGAAGTGGAGTGAAGATTTCACAAAAAATTGTAGTTTTTACCCGAAATATTATGGTTTTCACTAAATTGAGCGAAAAATGAAGCTTAAAAGGTACATTTTCGTTTCCTGTCTTTTGAATTTCTCGGAAATTTCAATTATTGCATGAGAATCAATAGAAATCAAGAAAATTCAAGTTGAGAAATTTTCAGTGAAATCTTAAATTTCATGATTTTTTCCCCCTTTAATTGAATTAAATGTCGCTCTCTTGAAAATTACTAGTCAACTGGGCATGAAATTTTAAAATTTTTCTAAAATTGGAAGAATATTTTTGAAAAATCTCATGAAAGTTACTCAAAGGAACATAAATGTGACCTCATTTCTGTTCAACTTTTGCCCATATATTGAGGACAATTTTTATCATCAATTGTTCTTCGCGCATTTTTGTGTTTTTTTCTCCCATTTCGCATAAATCGCCATAAATCTATCAATAAACAATTTATTTCCCGTAACAAAATCCTAAAATGATCAGTAATTGAGGAAGCCATAAGCCATTTCTCCATACATTTCCTCTCTACATATCCAATAATCAATCATCATTAAAAATTATAAGAGAGAGTTTCAACCTACTGGTAATTAATTACGTAAGCCCTCGTAGATACACCATATGGTGAGAGAAATATTTAGCAAAACCGATAACACTCAATCATTCCAAGAATAAAGAGAATCATTCCTTTACGCTCAAGTCGATCACTGCAATTTTCTCTCTATTTTAAGACGCTCTCAAACTAGTATATTCATCTAGCCATCACGTTTTGCGAGCGGAGTCATTGTCCCAGACTCTTTGCCACGTATGATTCCTCTCTCATAATGACTCTCTCTCCGCCATAGCCAGCGAAATTGTTGAACATAACATCTCTATTACCCTCCTCGGGATTATGAATAAATTATACTTTTTGACACGAATTCGCAGGCGCTGGAGTGGAAAGACCAGTTAACGGAGAGAAAACTCGAATAAGAATCATCTAGTAAATCGCGGAGAATTTTACTACACGAAAGGTGATCGTGGAGCTCAATTGTAATTCAATAAAGAATACTTTTTACGAAGGATATCTCACGATTCGTTCGGTAAAAAACAAGTGGGAAATTGCTTTCGTCACACGTAACACTTGCTCTACTAGCCAACCCCCATATGACCTACATATGACCCCCATAATCCTTCTTCTAACCTTTGTGACCGTTAATCTGACCCTCATTATATTCCTTGTGACCCATATGACCTTTATTCTGACCCTTGTGACCCTTAATCTGACCCTCGTACGCCTTAATCCGGCCCCTGTGACCCTTAATCTGAACCTCATGACCCTTTTTCTGACCCTAGTGATCCTTATTTTGACCCTTATGACCTAATTTTGACCCTCATGAGCCTTATTCTGACCCTCGTGACCCTTATTTCGACTCTTGTGAACCTTATTCTGATCCTCATGACCATTATTTTGACCCTCATGACCATTATTTTGGCTGTCGTGATCCTTAATTCTGGAGTCTTAATTTTGAGTAACAAATTTTTATCACCAGAAGTCGATTTGGATTCATATAATATAGAGAGATATTCATTGAATTCAACGTTGCTCCAACGATAAAAGTGTTTTACCTTTCCCTGAATATTGGTTTCAAAATCAATTTTTTCAACAACGGATGATGCTATCAATCTCATGATCGAACTCGGTGGAGGTGGCATTGGAAAGAATAGGTTAAATCACAATTGGGTTAATTAAAATGAATATTTTGTCAGTTATCTTCGAAAAACGATTCAAATTATCCTGAATTTTCAAATAATTGAAAAATTAAAAGTATATTTTCCGGAATTTTCCGATTTTTTATTAATTTTCAGGGTATAATTGAACTAAAATTTACAATTCTCATTGATGTTTCTGCGAAATTCCTTGAAATTTCGGTGGAGCTTGAATGTGATCGCAATTTCTTAAAAGTGTACAGAAAATTTCAGCTAAAAATTGTTAACAGTATTGACAAATTATTCATTTTTATGACATAATTTTTTAAAGCATAAATGATCAATTTTGCGGTTTCGGTGCAAATTACCCTCATGTTTAGTCAATTTTCTTAAGTTAGCGGTGAAAAATTCCCTATTCTCGCATATTTGCCCCGATATTGGAGGAAAAAGGCCTAGAAATGGATTTCGCTCCAGGTTTATTTCACTTGTTTGGTAATTTTTCTCCAACTTTTTTCTCCGCGTAGTACTTTGTGATTGAGCCGTTCGTTTTATTAAACCCCTCCCGAGTTTCTCGGGATCTACTGATAATTCGACAGCTATGAGAAAGTTCTTGATATAGGCTTTGGCGTACTAGTTGGGTTGTGTAACCTGTATTAAATCAGTTTTATTAAAAAAAATAATGCTCATAGTGAAGTGTAATTTTATGAAATTATGATCTTGGAACAAATTGTGTAATTCCAACGTAACTTATTGATTTTATTATTTCGTTTAATTTATAGTTGAAATCTATACATCAAAATTAAAATTTACAGTAATGACATTAACATTCATTAAGGTTGGTATAACATTGCGAATTTTCAATCACTAAATTAATTTGAAACAGTTTCCTAGGCGTAACACACTTAATTTTTCCATTCTTACGTAATTGTTTAATGGTTTAATTTGAAAAATTCTGTTATTCAAACGTGATTTATTGAATTTAGTATTTCGTTCCATTTATGGATGCCGAATATAGAAATTAAAACAAAAATGTACAGTTTATAGTTATTTAAATTTACAGTTTTCATTGATTTCCACATAAAATTGTGAATTTTCAATCACCAAATTATTTGAAAAAAAAATTCCAAAGACTAATACATTTTATTTTTCCATTCTCATTACAGAAAGATGACATTTTCGTGATTTGTATGGATGTCACCAATCTCTTCACAAACGAATACCGTGGAAGAACTAGTCAATTCCCCTCTGCAGAATTTATCATCCACTGAATCTGTGAGCAAACCATTCATAATTTATTCATAAAATAATTATCCCACTCAAACCCCTGAATTAATTAAAACCCCTCAGTAAACATTCATTGAAACCACTCGAAACGAACCTCAATAAATTTATAAATTCGCTCATCGCTTCGCCGTTTATCCCCAGCTTTACTTCCATTTCCCTGAAAAAAAAAGAAAAATTATTTCCGGATTAATTCAGGGCTCCAAACCACACCATAACCTCGGTGAATTCATCCCTCAGTTTCTCCCCAGAAGATCATTAAACCCGGAGTATTCATCGGAAATTTTATCATCCAGGGGGAAAAAATAGAGTTTACAAAAATCGATTTCCCTTTTTATCCGTTATGATGCGACTTCCCCGGGCGATTAAAAAGACTGAGCCGTGCAATTTCCCGTCTTTGTCTTTCTGCCGATCGTAAAGAAAAAAAAAAAATACACAGGCATGTGCACTTGTGTATGTGACTTGGCTGACGGAAAGGAGATACGTAAAAAGGACTACCTCCCCCACTCCGTAAAACTCGTTACAAGCGACGAGATAACGACGATAACGACGATAACACGATCGTTCGAAAGTTTGAACGCAAGAGGTATACGAATATCGTTTCCACTGCAGCGGAGGCGGGGGGGGGGGATTTTCAAT